AACTCTTGTGCTATTATGATTTCAGGAAAGAGTACTTAATATATAATTAATCAGGACTTCTACAGATAAATTATTTCTCCTCTCCTTTTTTGTTTCATGTAGTTTTCCTAAGTTATGTTTAAATTGTGAACAAAATCTGCTTAGAAACTTACTGTTTAATTTGGATTATACTTGTGGCCATTAAAAAAATTGTGCATCAATACTGAGATTTTAAGCTCTAGTTGACACTTACATGAAGCATTCTCTTCTGTCTAATCTCTGTTCAATTTGAGGAGGCAAATGATGCCATAGTAGTGCTTTTCCCTTCATTACTAGGTGTAGCATGTATTACTAGCAGTGAAAGTAAATATTTTAGAATTAGAAGAAGCCTACCTATCTCAGTGAAATCTAAGTCTTTTTTTTATTGCACCCAGTATCATCTGAGTATTTCAAGTATATTAACATTAAAAAAGACAAACTTTTTGGAAGTGTTTATGTATTTTTTTCTTACTGTATATGATATTATACCTTATGCCATCTATTTAAAAACTGACTTTCTTCATCCCATTGTTTGCAAAAGGATATAAGGCAGTGCATGTGATCTCTCTCTCTCTCTCAATGCCTAGAAGTCAAAGATCATGTCTTTCTCCTCCCTCTCTTACACCTGGCTGAAATTACATTCTGTATGCATGAGAGTGATAATTAAATATTACCTGGTAGTGATTGGATGGCTCACAAATTTCCTGAGGGAAAACTGAGACTCTTCTGTGATAAGGATTAGGTAGTAGAGTGGGACATCTGGAGACTTGGCCTGCGTGTTCTTACTCAATCATTCCTTTGTAACTTTTCCCCCACGTTCATTTTCTGTGTCATGCCTTGCTTCTCCCATTAACAAAAGGAAGATAGAAATGGTTGCTTCCTGTTTTCTTCATAGGGAACTCAAGGATGAACAGGCTAGTATTTCCTTTCCCAGATGTATAACTTAATCTTATTTGTTTATTTTCTGTCCGTACTTCTGATTCCATAATGTCTGTGTGAGTGTGTGTGTGTGTGTGTATATGTATATGTGTGTGTATGTGTATATATATATATATATATATATTCCATTCCTTTATTTACATTCTTTTCCTTCTCTGGAATTTTTCAATAAATCAAAGCATGTTCATCACATTTCATAATGCCCTTGAGTACCCTAGATACTCTTCAGATATGGGCAAGTGTTTGAGTAGCTGCATTTGCTTTTGAGTGTCTATAACTTGGGTCCTAGGTAATCAAACACATGACAAGAGGGCTGCCCCAGTCTGAAATGCAGATCAGTTTCAAGGCATTTCAGCCTTTTCTTAAAGCCTCTCTCTGGTCTATTCAGCTGCCTTCTTCTCCCCATTCCCCTCTTTTTAAACCTATATGATCAGTTATGAAGCGATGTTTTGAATGATAGTTGAAGTTGTAGGCTTCCCTTCAAGAGCATTAACTGAAAAGTCTACTTTCTCATCTGAGAACCAGATGTTTTACTGTGATTCTCAGCATGCATGTGCCTGGTTTGTCTGATACCGACTGAGAAAACAAAAAAACAGTATAGTAGTCAATCAATAGCTGGTGTCACCATCAATTTTAGATAAACTGTTAAGGGTCAAATTTCAACATTTTAATATGACTCCCACAGAATTTAAAAACAAAGTCCTATAATGAGATGTCTAAAGGATGCAGTTGTTTAATGTTATTTGAATACTAAAGAGAGCCTTCCAGGGACAGGTGTTTAGCTTGGTTGTTAAGATGCTGGTTTAGACTCTAGGGTCCCATATTGGAGTGACTAGGTTCAGTGCTTACCTAGCTTCAGCTCCTAACTCCAGTTTTCCGCTAAAGCAGGCCTTGGGAAGCGACCATGATGACTCACGTGGTTGAGTTTTGGCCTCATCATGGAGGACCTTGATTGAATTTCTGGTTCCTGGCTTTAGCCCCAGCCCAACCCTGGTTGTTGTGGCATTTTGGGCACTTGGGTAGTGAACCAGAGGACTGTCTCTCAGTTTCTCCTTTCTGTGTTATTCTAAGATTCCCCAAGTGGTGAGCTGACCTGCTATGCCCCAATGCCTGTACTGGGATCATAATTTTTAAAATAGGTCCTTACTGATAGATAATTATGTTGCCAATCTTTTATTTTTGATCAAATATTACTATTGTTTTCTGCTTAGTTTCCACTTTCAGGTTAATTTCCTAGTTTTTGTCAAGGGCTAGACATTAGTGCCAAGAAATGAGATATTCTGTTCTGAGCATCTGAGCTGTCTGTGTACGGATGACTGGATGCATGTGTACGCTGCTGGACGGTCTAGTTCCAATGTCTTTTCTGAACATTCTTGCCTAAATTAAAATCTGTCTCTTGGAATCCTTATGATGCACAAGTGCAAGATTATAGCTCCTACTGACTAACTAGAGAGTTCAAATGAATAACCTGTGATTTTGATAACTGTGGTGAGTCTTGGGTTTCAGTTCGAATAGACAGCCCTTATAATGACAAGACTCAAGTAGTGTCAATGAAAACTGTATCATTGATAAAATAGAGCTAAGAGAGTAGTATCTGTCCAAGGTCTTGGGATGAAAGAATACAGATTATCAGAATAGCTTTACTCTTTCTTTACAAGGACTCTAAATATTATTTCAGCCTATATTAGTTGACACAGCTGGTACATTTGATGATCAAAAACTCTGAAGGTAGCAAGCAATGGGTTTTGCTATTCAATCACTGCGATATTCTTTCCCCCTAAAATTTGCCCTCTTTGTGTCAGAACTGCTGGGCTCTCAGCCTACTCTGATTTTGAGCAATTCTGGGGAAGGTGTTTGGCCTAGTGAAGATTCCAGTTAAGATGCTCATGTCCTCTGCCAGAGTGCCTGGGTCTGATGCCCAGCTTCTGCTCCCAATTCCACTTTCTTGCTAATGCAGACTGTTGGAGGCAGAAGTGATGGCTCAAGTAGATGGGTTACTGCCACCAACATGAGGGATGTGAACTGAGGGCACAGCTCCCAGCCTCAGCCCAGCCCAGACCCAGCTGTTGACAGCATTTGAAAAGTGATCCAACAGATGAGCATGCTCCTTGTCTCCTGAATAGTCAATCTGTCTCTTGAATAGATAGATAGATCTTTAAAAAAATTGTTCATTCCTTAAAATATGGTCTCTTAGAAAGTTAACAGAAGATAAGCTGTCAGAATTATTATATGTTGACATTGGTTTGATGGTTACTTCTTTAAGATAGAAATGGAAATTGTTTCTTATTTCTTTATGTCAGGAAAAATTAGTTGCCCTTCATACAAGCAAAACATCTTGATTTCGGTTTTATGTTTTTGTCTTTTTTTTTTTTTTAACAGGCAGAGTGGACAGTGAGAGAGAGAGAGAGAGAGAAAGGTCTTCCTTTGCCATTGGTTCACCCTCCAATGGCCGGCGCGGCCGGCGCTCTGCAGCCAGCGCTCTGCAGCCAGCGCACCACACTGATCCGAAAGCAGGAGCCAGGTGCTTCTCCTGGTCTCCCATGGATGCAGGGCCCAAGCACTTGGGTCATCCTCCACTGCCTTCCTGGGCCACAGCAGAGAGCTGGCCTGGAAGAGGGGCAACCGGGACAGAATCCGGCGCCCCGACTGGGACTAGAACCCGGTGTGCCAGCGCTGCAAGGCGGAGGATTAGCCTAGTGAGCCACGGCGCCGGCCATCTTTTTGCTTTCTGAGACAAAGCATCTCACTTATTTATGTTTTTAGTTGGGAATAAGGAACACATCAACACATATAACGTGGTGCTGATCCCAAGTTCTTTGCCTCACTTGCAAATAGCAATTGATAAGAGGCCAACCTGCAGGGCTTAAAATTGAGCACAAAGGGAGATGGCACAGTGGGAAGAGATTCTACTGAATGGCTCTCACAATGGAGGTGAACAGATGCTTTCCTTGGGGAGAGGCCTGATACTTCCCTCTCAGAGCATGGCACTACAGTCTGCAAACAGCCTGGGTTTTGGCTTGTCCTCCTTGGCACCCAGCACTTTGACTTGCACCCAGCTTGGTGTTGTGCAAAGATGCTGTTGGTTTTGTTGCACATGACACATCCAAAATGCTGGTGCTGCTACCAGCACATCAGGAAGGTTATTTATCCGTCACATGAGGGTGCTCTGGGCATGCATGCAGGTTGGGGAGGCCCTCATAGGGCAGTAGGTGGTCTTTGCCATTATGGTCTAGAAGCTCCTTGCTTCTGATTGGTTTGGAGGTGGAAATGGCTACATGCTGGGTTGGGAGTGGCTGGATTTAATGACCTTTGGTTCTGTCCTGTCTCAGACAGATAACAAAACTTACTCCCTGGGTCATTGTGGCATAATGGATTAAGCTGCCATTTGGCATGCCCACGTCCCATTGGATGTGCCTAGGATAGGGTCCTGCCTCTGCTTCCAATCTGGTTTCCTGCTAAAGCATCTGAGAGGTGGCAGATGATGCTACAAATACCTGTGCTCCTGCCTCCCACATGGGAGAGACCAGGAAGGAGTTCCTGGCTCCTGGTTTTGGCCTGGTCTGCCTTTGGCTGTCGCAGATATTTTTGGGAGTGAACCAGTGGATGGAAGGGGTTTCTCTCTTTCTCTGTCTCTCTCTGTCACTCACTCTGCCTTTCAAATAACAAACAAATAATACATAAATATTTTTAAAAAATTAATCATCAACTTCAGTTAAATAGAGATAAAAAGAGCCAGTATGAGCAAGAAACAATCATATCATTTCCTAACGCTATGAGAAGCAAAGATAAAACATTGTGTGAGTGTATGTGTGCATTCAGGCACATGTGTGTATTTGGTATTTTGTTTTTGATGGACATGAGTAGAGAAAGAAAGGAACCATCAATAAAGAAAATAATATTATTAGAACTTGTTATACACTTTTTTATTTCTAGAATTGGAATGCTAAGTTCCAATCATTATTTAAATTTTTTTGCCTCCACTTTTTTAAGCTTGGGAAATCCATTAACTCTTTATTTATTTATTTATTTATTTATTTTGACAGGCAGAGTGGACAGTGAGAGAGAGAGACGGAGAGAAAGGTCTTCCTTTGCTGTTGGTTCATCTTCCAATGGCCGCCGCGGCCGGCACACCGCACTAATCCAAAGCCAGGAGCCAGGTGCTTCTCCTGGTCTCCCATGGGGTGCAGGGCCCAAGCACTTGGGCCATCCTCCACTGCACTCCCGGGCCACAGCAGAGGCTGGACAAGAAGAGGAGCAACTGGGACAGAATCCGGCGTCCCGCCCAGGACTAGAACCCAGTGTGCCAGTGCAGCAGGTGGAGGATTAGCCCATTGAGCCTCGGTGCCGGCTAATCCATTAACTTTTACTATAGAAAGTGGAATACATCATGTCTCATTTTATGGAAGAAATAGATAGGTTTATCATCTTGTTGTGACATCTAGTCATGTGACATCTTGAAATAGTGCCACTGGGTATTGCCTTGTTTTTGTAGCTGTAGGCTTGGATTTTACTGACATTTTGGACTAGCTAATTCATAGTTGTAGAGGGATGTCCTGTACGTGGTAGGATATTTAGCAGCATCCCTGGCTTCTGCACACACACCAGATGCCAGTAGCAATACCTTCCCCGGGGACAAAGTTATCTCCAGTTGAGAACAACTGTTGTGGATATGTGGTGTTCCTAAGCGGCTGGGGCTTCAGTGCGGATCTGTACAACATTCAGCAGTCTGTGTGCTGCCCAGGATTTGTGACTTAGAGCAACAGAGCAACAAGAGGCATCAATTTATTTGAAAGGCACAGTGACAGAGAAGCAGAGACAGAGAAAGAACAAAATCTTCTATCCACTGGTTCACTCTCCCAGATGGCTGCAACATCTGGGTCTGGGCCAGGCCAAAGCCAGGAACCTGAAACTCCATCTGGGTCTCCCATGTGGCTGGAAAGGGCCCAAGTATGTGAGCCATCCTCCACTGCTTTCCCAAGGGGATTAGCAGAGAGCTGGATAGAAAGTGGAGCAGCTAGGACTGTAATGAGCATTCTGGCATAGGATACTGGCATTGGAAGTTGTGGCTTAACCTGCTGTACCAGGACACTGGCCCAGGAGCTAAATTTTTTCTCCCAAGACCACCATTCAATTTTGGGAAGATTTTTCAAGAACTGTCAAAGCCAGTTCATGTGCTCTGGATTGATTGGTTGGTTGGTTGATTAGCCGCTTGATCAGTTGATTAATTGCTTCAATCATTTGGGAAAAAAAATTAAGAACTGCCATGTGCTGGTCACAGTGGTGATGACATGTTTGTTAGTATGTGGTTCTGACGGGAAATAAGCCTGCAGGTAGACCAGTTGCTAAGATGTTGCCTTCAATACTGGTGAGAAATTATGGTTGCTTGGTTTTGGGTAGTGATGGTGAGATGCTGAGGAAAAAATTGTTTTTAGGGGTGGAAAGAGGTTAATTTGGATGTGTAGACGTGATATTCTTCAGGGTATAGCTGGTTTGATTGAAATCAAGGAAGCAGATGGACTTGTCTAAGGATAGTACAGAGAGAGAAGAGGCTCTAGGATAACAACATCATGACAAATCTATTCAAAGAACTTTGGAGGAGGACTCCAGAAGTGTGAGGAAATCAGGGGTCCAGAGAGAGAGAGTTTCAAGAAGAGGGGGTTTTGGATTAAGCTAAGAATTCCTTCCTGGTGATCCTTGCTAATGTCTAGCTTGCACCATGGTTAGAATCACAGGTCATGCATATATATAGTGTACTGTTGTTACTAAACAATAGGAGCTGATAGCATTTTAATAATTTAAAACACATTAAACAATTATTTAAAAATTACATGGCCCTTGTTGAGTGCACTCTGAATTAATTGTTAGAATTGCAAATGAAAATTAAGGCTCTGGGGCTGGCATTTTGGCATAGCGTGTTAAGCACTGCCAGCATCCCATATAGGTGTCAGTTCGAGTCCAGCTGCTCCGCTTCTGACAGAGATCCCTGCTAATACACCTGAGAAAGCAGGGGAAGATGACCCAAGTACTTGGGCCCCTACCATCCACATAGGAGACCAGGATGAAGCTCCTAGCTCATGGCTTCACCCTGGCCCAGTCCTGGCCCACGTAGCCATTTGGGGAATGAATGAGCAAATGAAAGATCTCTTTCTCACCTCTCTGTAACTCTACCTTTTAAATTAAGACAAAAAAAGAAGAAACTTTAAAAAAAATTAAAAATCAAAAATCTCATTTCTCCATGGGTCTAAGGAGGTTAATGGTGATGTAGGAACAGAGGTTTTGTAGTAATCCTGGACCAATTAAAAATACTGTTTATTGGGGCCCGCGCTGTGGCACAGCGGGTTAACGCCCTGGCCTGAGGTGCCGGCATTCCATATGGGCCCCAGTTTGAGACCCGGCTGATCCACTTCCCATCCAGCTCTCTGCCATGGCCTGGGAAAGCAGTAGAAGATGACTCAAGTCCTTGGGTCCCTTCACCCACGTGGGAGTCCTGGAGGAAGCTCCTGGCTCCTGGCTTCAATCGGCATAGCTCTGGCCGTTGCAGCCAATTGGGGAGTGAACCATCGGATGGAAGAACCCCCCCCCCCCCGCCTCTCCTCTCTCTGTGTTACTCTTTCAAATAAATAAATAAATCTTTAAAAAATATTGTTTATTAACCTACTTATGATCATAGTAAATAAAGAGGAAGATAAAATTCTAGATTTAAATAAAATTTTATCACTGGCATGTGTATATCTTATTTAGAAGGTTTGTTTTTTCTTTGTACAGAATTAGCTTCTTCCATTTGTCCTTCCTTTGCCTACTGACTCTCTTTCTTTTTCTTCTTCTTTGTCCTTAGATTATTGGCAATTTTCTCATATTAAAGCATTTGCCACTATCACGTACATCTGATAAACTTCTTGTGTCTGTCCCAGCAGTGCTGTGCGGTGGAGGGAGACAAGATAGAGATGGAGATGAGAGAGAGGGGGAGAGGGACGGGCAGAGTGGGGAGGGAGAGAAATAGTGTGCTGGGGTTCCTTCCTGCTTGAGAAGATCAGCTTCTCACGTCAGGTTGGCTGGCTCCGTGGCACTCTGGGCATAACTGAAGAATGAGGTTGCAGAGGGGCGAAGACAATTAAAACCTGAGCACTGTCCACGGAATGTTCCTTCTTAGTAAGCTTTACTTCTCTTCTCCCTTTCTAAGTCTGCCCAGGGCCTGGAGTGCATGTGTTTTAGAAAGGACAGAACTTAAAAAACCACGACTGTAGAAAACAAATTTTAAAAAATGTTCTTAGCTCTTTCTGCCTTTTGTGCTTTGATCTCCCCCTCACTTCCAGCCCGCCCCCCCCCGCCCTGCCTCTCACTCGGGCTTTGAAACCCCAAGTTGTCTGGGGTGCTCCTGGAGGCAATTCAAGTACCTGACTGCTGGGTTTCCTTTGTTCAGCTGCTCTTGGTCCTTGCTGGGAATGGCTCTGAAAGCTGAGCCGGTGTTGGGCACAAAGTCCAGGGTGTGGGCCCTCCCCCGGAACGCTGTGTGGTTTGTCCCCGCCTCCTGTTCACGACTCATTAGTCCCTAAGTACTGAAAAGGTTGCTCCTTTGGAATAAAAGGAATGGACCGGCTCGGAGCCCTCTTTCGCCTTTTCCTGTGTTTTATTTGGGTGCACTCACAGTTCTCCGTCTTCATTAGTGACCCTGCAGGAGGCTGGCACAGCGCTGAGCGAGCCGTGCTGGTTCCCTGGGGTGTATCAGAGACCTCAGAACTCAATACCCTACTATAAAAATAACAGTGCAATACCGCGCTTCAGCAGACCTTCGCAGGGAGCAAAGCCGTGGGGCCCAGGCCTCTCAAGTTGCATTTTGCTCAGGCCCTCCCAGCCCCTGCTTCTTCTTCGCCATCCTAGTAGTGTGGTTCTTTGGGTAGACGCTGTGGCTGTGTCGGGTAAATGGCTTCGGCAAGGACTTTTTGTATTTCCAGCAGCCTCCAGGACAGCAGTTTCCTGTGGGAGATGCAGCAGAAGACACGTGTAGGCTGTATTCCCCAAGTGATATCATTTCAGATTAGAGATGCTATAAAAAAACCAGGCTACCTATTTAGAACCCAAGTTGTTTTTCCTGATTTCCCAGAATGGCCAACTTACTGTCTTAATTAAAACCCAGGCACCTGGAGGCCTTTCCTTGCCCCCAGAGCCACTCGTGTGGGCGCACACTGCCGTGAACGTGGTGCCCATCAAGCCTTTCTGTGAGAACTTGAGCTCCGCAGACCGTTGTGTCTTGTTAAACTGCCAGCCTGTAAGTGCTCTCCGTCTTGGGCAGTGGTTGCTATGCTTATTTTATTTTTATTTTTTTTAACAGGCAGAGTGGACAGTGAGAGAGAGAGAGAGAGAGAAAGGTCTTCCTTTGCTGTTGGTTCACCCTCCAATGGCCGCTGCGGCCGGTGCACCGCGCTGATCCGAAGCCAGGAGCCAGGTACTTATCCTGGTCTCCCAGGGGGTGCAGGGCCCAAGCACTTGGGCCATCCTCCACTGCACTCCCGGGCCACAGCAGAGAGCTGGCCTGGAAGAGGGGCAACCGGGACAGAATCCAGCGCCCCAACCGGGACTCGAACCCGGTGTGCCGGCGCCGCAAGGCGGAGGATTAGCCTAGTGAGCCGCGGCGCCGGCCGCTATGCTTATTTTAAAGCAGCATGAGAAAATAGAAACAGGGACCTCTGGTTGCTGAATGGCTAGCATACCTTTGAAAACCCAACTGTTTCACCCTCTGACTGTTAACACATCCTAATAGGGGAAGTTCACAAAAATAGAGTAGGATTAGCAGCTTTAATAAATTATTCTGAATACACATTGCTATTACATTTAAATAATACTTTTATTACTGTACGTGATATATACACAGCCTTACTGTGCAGGGAGTATTCAGTAATTTAAGAGAAATTCCTTTTGATTACATAGGAAAATAATACATGTGCCAGTGTGTGATGATGCTTTCGATTTATTCTTCAGATTTGCCAGCAGGCCCCCTTTTCCCCGGAATACGTGTGGTAGACTTTTTTTTTTTTGAAAGTTTATAGATAAGAAATACATGTTTTCATAGCTTGGGTCTACATGAGTTTATATATTGCTTAAAAAGTCAGATCATCTCTTCCATCCCACTCCCCCACACTGGTGCCAAGAACATCCTGGTACTCTGTGGGGTGTGTTCTGGGGAGTAGGGTTATGAGGTCATTAAGAACACACACATTCTGAAGGTCAGTAAGTGCTGCCAGATCGCTTCCTGGGGTGGCTGCATCCGTCTGTGTCCCGCCAGTAGTAAGAAACACGCCTGCTCCCCACGTCCTGGCCAGCATTCTTCATAGACTTCATTTTTTTCAAACTGATGGGTGTAAGGTGGTATTTAATGTTTAAATTAAAATTCCAATTTAAATCAATCAACAAATTTAATAAAAATTTAATTAAATTAGTTTTTTTTTGTTTTTGGTCACAAAGTTGAGAGGCTCTGTATTTGCTAGTTAGCTATATGGCTTTTTACTGTTGTGACTTGAATTGTAATTTTGCGGTGATATAGACCTTAATTGTGAGTAAGACATAGTACTTTTTTTAATTTTATAGTTTATGCTCTTAGGGTACAGGACAACAGGGCTATTCTCTGGCTTTTTTTTTTTTCCTTTTTAGCCACCTTTACAGGTAGGCTTTAAATAACTGGAGGTCATCTTTAGATAGAGTAGTATTGTTTAAGGTGGCAGATTTACACTCTAGACTCTAAGACAACAGTTTAATGTGAAGTAGAAGGCCATGTTACCCTCTAGTTATATTCTGAAAAGAGCATTTAGTAAAAAAAATAAGAAAAATGGCTGTGCATAGCACATTTTAAGAAATGATAATACATACACATATATAAAACCACGCCTTAGGGCCGGCACTGTGGCACAGCGGGTTGGTGCCCTGGCCTAAAGTGCCGGCATCCCATATGGGCGCTGGTTCGAGACCCATCTCCTCCATTTCCGATCCAGCTCTCTGCCATGGCCTGGGAAAGCAGTAGAAGATGGCCCAAGTCCTTGGGTCACTCCACCCAAGCTCCTGGCTCCTGGCTTCGGATTGGCACAGCTCTGGCTGTTGCAGCCATTTGGGGAGTAAACCAGTGGCTGGAAGACCTCTCTCTCTCTCTCTGTCTCTCCTCTCTCTGTGTTACTCTGACTTTCAAATAAATAAATAAATCTTTTAGAAAAAACCACACCTTATATCTTTTAAGGAAATAATCCCAGTCCAAAGGCAGATGCCAGATGATTGCTTGCTTCTGTAGGAGGAGAGAATGGGGAGTGGAGATAAAGAGAGAAAGAAAATAACTGAAGTGGCCATCATCAGATGAATGAATAAAGAAAATACACACGTAGTGGGATATTATTCAGCTATGATAGAGAATGCAGTTCTGTCTATCATCTGCAGCAGAATGGTTGGAACCAGAGGACATGATGTGGAGTGAAATAAGCCAGATACAGAAAGACGAACAGTGCATGTTCTCCCTTATATGTAGGAACTAACATTAAAAGAAAGAAGAAAGAAAAAACTCATGTGTATCAGTTTTGTAAATACAGTGTTTTGACAAACTTCGTTTTAAGTCTTTGTCAAACAAAGTGATAGGAATTATAACTACTGTGGTTCTAATGATTTTGTGAATGTTTTAAAATTTACTTTATGTGTGTGAAGTTGAGCACTTTTTCACTTGATTGCTGCTGTTAGTCCTTGCCTAATTTCCTGCTGAACGGTCTTTTTACTTTTTTTGTTGTTGCTGAATTCTTTTCTTTCTTTAGTGAAGCCATTATGACTTTGAGTATAATGTAAATTAAACATATGTTATCTCCAAAAAATTAAGTTTAAAAAAAGAGAGAGAAAAAAATAATAAAACAAATGGAGAGAAGCCTTGCACAGACTGATAATAATAGTCTCCCCTGCTGAGGCCTGTGGTAAACCCAGTGCTCCTGGGGATGAAGTGAACATAATTTAGGAGAGGTAACCAGAAAATAGGTAGTGATGAGCCAAAAAAGGCTAATGGAAGAGAAATAGAAGTACAGGGTTTTAGCGTTATGATTCATAAGCAAAATGCCTGTAAGGAATAAACATGCTCTTAAATAACTACATCTGGCCATTCTTTTTTGGCTTTTAAAGTGTTTTGTGGGAGAAACAGGAATTTCTCTTTTTTTCCCCAACGAGAGGTGAAGATAAGTGTAAGAAGGAAAGCAGACGTTTCTTTTCAAGTACGTGTGTACACCTGCCATCAGACAAAACGAGTAGTTGCTATTAAGAGCAGGCTCTGGCTATTTTTTATGTTGCTTGTTAAATTAAAATTCTTTTCCTGGCAAGTATAGGTTTATAATTAAGTCATTTATCGTAAGTGTTCTTTTGGCTACGTCTTAAATTTGATGATATACAGAAGCAATATGTGGGTGGTTACTTAGAAATTAGATGAATGAGTTATTTTATTGTCATTTATCATTTGATGTGCAGGTTATTCCTATTTATAACAAACACTGAACACTAATTATATGCAACTGAAGGAAGGCCAAAAAAGGTCTTGGTTTTGAAAATAAGCTGAGAACTCTGTTATTTTCAACCCTCCAACAGTCTTGAGGAGTAAGAGTGTGATACACTCACATTTACAGAAGTTGTAGTCAGGATTGTACTCAATTCTGTTTCATTATAAAGAGATCTTTCTTTGCCATATATGATTTCATGTTACCCTCTTTCAAATAAATTTCAAATATACTTTTTATTTTTCTGAATGAGTTCTGTAGGTACTGGCCCACCCTGTCCCTGTGATTTCTATATCTGTGTACCCGGCACTGTCCTGGCACCTTATGTTCATCTGGGTTATTCTCCATTACAAACTGCACATTGCAGATGAAGGAAACAGACTCAAACAGGTGAAATGATTTTTCTAGGTCTGCACAGCAATAAGTAATAACCAGGATTTGAAGCCAAATCTAACTCTTCAAAGCTCAAAGCCCCCCCCCCCCCCAGCCTTAAATGACTATACTATACTTTTTGTGGGCTGTATTCTACAGTATCCATATTTGTGCAGAGTATAATGTCTTCATTTGGCATTTCATTTTTGAAGGGCACTTTAGCCTCTGCTTTGGCTGTTGATGAAGAATGTAGACACCTTTAAGTCACACCACAGAAAACCTCTCTGGTTCCTTTTAGAGATGAGGACTTTGAATTCTCTGCCAGCCAGTTGCTCAAAAATCTGCTTCTGAGAAGTGATATTTATAGAAGATTGAGTGAAATGACACGTTCTCTGTTCATTTCTCTGGATTGCCTGCATTGTTTTTCGGCCACGTCTTCCGGTCAGAGAGAAGTGTGAATCCAAGTACTTGGCTGTTTTTGTCCCTTTGCAGAAATCAATCTCCCTCCCTCCCCCCTCCCTCCCCCATTTTGTACTAAGTCACTGGCCTTTGATGGTAAACAGCTGAGTGGCGTAGCGGTGGACGTCTTACTGAGGAGGCTAGCTAGACACCACTCAGATCATCTTTGAGACAATGTGGAGATGGAGTTCCTCTCAGGTCTCGGGGTCAGGAAACAGTGATTCATTGCAACCAAAGTCGCGTTGTGATTATGGATCTTAGCTGCATGTTTTTCTTCTGCCTTGGTTACTGGGAGGGTTAGTGCCAGGGTTGCACACCATTGCTACTAACTGTGTTTGAGTGCTTATCTTAACTCCTGCCTACTAGTGTTTTCTTGCCTATATTCCTCTGTAGTCTCATGGTTTTCAGATATTCATCTGTTTGTAGTGAATGAATTTTCTTTAAAAAAAATTACTGAAAAAGCAGATATACAGAGAGAGGGAGAGGGAGAGAAATCTTCCATTCACTGGTTCACTCTCCAATGCACTCAACAGCCAGGGCTGGGCCAGGCTGAAGCCAGGAGCCTCATCCTGGTCTCTCCATGGGTGCAGGGGTCCAAGCACTTGGATCATCTTCCACTGTTTTCCCAGGTGCCTTAGCAGTGAGCTAGATTGGAAGTGGAGCAGCTGGAACTCGAAGCAGTGCTCATATAGGATGCCATTTTCACTGGCAGCGGACCTGTCTGCTACACTACAGTGCTGGCCCCTAATGAGTGAATTTTCGGCCGGCACCGCGGCTCACTAGGCTAATCCTCCGCCTGCAGTGCCGGCACACCAGGTTCTAGTCCTGGTTGGGGCGCCGGATTCTGTCTCGGTTGCTCCTCTTCCAGGCCAGCTCTCTGCTGTGGCCCGGGAGTGCAGTGGAGGATGGCCCAAGTGCTTGGGCTCTGCACCCCATGGGAGACCAGGAGAAGTACCTGGCTCCTGCTTTCGGATCAGCGCGGTGCGCCAGCTGCAGCGCGCCGGCTGGCTGCGGCCATTGGAGGGTGAACCAATGGCAAAGGAAGACCTTTCTCTCTCTCTCTCTCTCTCTCTCTCTCTCTCACTGTCCACTCTGCCTGTCAAAAAAAAAAAAATGAGTGAATTTTCATAAACTGCCACAAATCATCTTGCTGTGGTGGATATAAGTACACAGATGGCATGTAAGGACATTCAGCTTCCTGACTTGATGGTTAAATTGGAATTCCTCCTAGGAATATCATAGGTACACATCATCTGCCTCAACTATTTTCGTCTTTTCCATTTTACCTCCTGCTCATTTTCCATTATTTATCATGGGTCTATCACTTGACTAACATGTTAGTAGAATTCCAGAATTATTGAGTAACAATTTATAGAACTATTTTTCTGAAAGAAATTTAGTCTCCTTTTGATTTGGATTTACATTTTTTAAAGATTTACTTGTTTATTTATTTGAAAGGCAGGGCATCAGAGACACAAGGAAGACAGAGAGAGAGAGAGAGAGAGAGAGAATGAGATGGAGGAGCTAGAGAGAGATTCTACATCTGGTCAATCACTCCCCAGATGGCTGCAATAGCAAGGCCTGGGCCAGGCCAAAGCCAGGAGCCAGAGTTCCATCCTGTTCTCCCATGGGATGGTAGGGGCCCAAATACTGGGGCTGTTTTCTGCTGCTTTTCCACTGCTTTCCCATCCACATTAGCAGGAAGCTGGATTGGAAGCAGGGAAAGCAGGACTCGAATCGGCACTCTGTTATGTAATCGCAAGCTGCAGCTTAATTGATTGCACCGCAATGCCAGCCCCTCTCTGCTTAGATTTTTTAGCAAAGGCGTGATTCTAATTTTTATGAGAACCTTCACTTCGCTAAAGAACTCTAACTAATTTGAATATTTTCATTTGGGGAAGGGAGAAGGGAAACTTGGAGTCTCAAATGTTTGCCATTTATAGAGCTTTTTGAGAATTTATCTAGAACGAAGTAAGTTTTTCAGTTTGTTCTCACAGTGGTAGTGAATTTCCTGTTTAGTGCCTAAAGCACATCTCCAGTTAGAAGTTCAGCTGGCACTTCAACCATCTGCAGCTTTACATATCATCCCCTAACCCAGCTCTGCCGATGTTACCCCACCATTCCCCCCCACCCTTTCCCATGTGGTGATTGGTCCCACTCTGTCGTGGTCGCTCAGTCCATATCCATGCCAGTCATGTTGGACTCCTGCAGTCAGTCACCCAGTCCTTTGTGTTTTGCTTACTCCCACTTTTGAAGCTGACCACTTTCCATTCCCACTGCTGCTATTTCAGGTGCCTTGTGTGCTGCCTTGCCAGAACAAGCATTAAGAATTCCTGGTCAAGAAAGTGAAGAAAAGAATGAATGGGTGCAGGATTGGATTGTCTTAGTTTCATTGCATCTCACTGGACTACTGCAAAATTCCTATCTTTCTCTCTTCTGGCCCCTTCTAACCCATGATCTACAGTGTTCTCAGACTGGTATTCCTGGAGGCACATCAGATCCTGGAACTCCTCTGCTTAGAATCTTCCATGGCTCCTTCCAGCTTCCAGGATTCATTTAGTGTTAAAGGCCTCGTGCTAACTGAGAAAGTCCTCTACCTCTTAAGCGGCCTTACCTGCCGCTTAAGGTCACTCTACTGACCTTGTCATCCCATCATGTGGCTGCGTACTCTGTCCCCACTCTGATGCCGTTCGTCGTGCAGGACACCCACCAGGAGCTGGGAGACGGTCATTGATGCTGCCAGTGTGACCCAGAGGCCTGTCTCCTTTGTTCTCACAGCCTTTACACATAGTCTCATGGCTCTTCTTGTGCACCATGACTTCCTCATCCAAAATTATAGCCAGAATCATCAGTAATTATTTATTGACTGATGACTGAGTGAATGAAGAAGAAATAACCCCATAAAGCTATAATCCAGTCTAACCATTCATTCACTTAATAATTGTTTATTGAACACTTACTATATGCCAGGTGCTATTTGAGAGGCTGGAGACACAACAGTGAACACAATGGTACCTGTCTAGACATTTAAAAGTAAGCAGGTAGACTTACAATGCTGGCTGGCACCAATTGTTTTGAGGAAAATGAAGAAGGCTAAGTGAAGTCTAAAGCAGATGGCTGAGCAGTGCATGTCTAAAGGGGAGATCTTTGAGCGGAAACCTGAAGGAAGTAAGAGGAGCCATATTCTTGAGCTGGTGTTGGGGAGCAGTGGCTCTGAGCAGAGAGAAAACATTTCTGGGTACCTGTTAGTACCAGACTCTGTTCTGGGGCCCCCGAGGACAGCAATGGACAAGACCACTAACCATTAGCATTGTTGATTGTTTAGTTGTGCAGTCTGTTCTTTTTCAAATTATGTTTCCTAATTCAAACTCCTCCTTTCGTTTTTATTTTTTAAGATTTATTTTAGTTATTTGAAAGAGTTACACAGAGAGGTAGAGACAGAGAGAGAGGTCTTCCATCCAATGATTCACCCCCAAGATGGCTGCACCAGGAGCCAGGAGTTTCTTTAGGGTCTCCCATGTGGGTGCAGGGGCCCAAGGACTTGGGCCATCCTTTACTGCTTTCCCAGGCCATAGCAGAGAGCTGGATCAGAAGTGGAGCAGCTGGGACTAGAACCAGCGCCCATATGGGATGCCAGCGCTTCAGGCCAGGGCTTTAACCCGCTGCGCCACAGTGCTGGCCCCCCTCCTTTCTTTAATTGCTTGATTTTCCGAGACTGGAAAAGCCCAACTTGGGAAAGTACTTTTGTTCTCCCTAATTGCCTATCATTTCCTACTCTTTTCTATGCAGGAGAACCCATGGACTCCTAGTAACACAGTAGGTTACTGGTTCAGGGGACTGCTCCCCATTGGATCCATATTTAATCATGGTGCTCAGGGTTGTGTGTGATGTAGTAGATGTTTCTGGCTTGGCTTTGACCAGGTGGGGGATGTAGATACAGTTCCCTCAGTGTAATGATATATGGGTACTGGCTGAGCTCCTCTCTCCACTCCCCCAGCCCAGCTGTGGCCCAGAGGAAATCGTCTTAGCCCATTTAGCTTTCGTAACACACAAAAATATTAACTTTGGATCCTCTTCCTTGCCCCATCACCTGCTTTACTGCACTGAAGTCTGCTTCCTGACACAGTTTCCTGCTTGTAAACAGGGCACCTTTCAAAAGTTGCAAAAAATGGTGTTTAAAAAAGTTCCCCCAGGCTGGCACTTTGGTACTGCAGGTGAAGCCGCCAGCTGTGATGCCGGCATCTCACATGGGCATTGGTTGGAGTCCTGGCTGCTCCACTTCTGATCTAACTCCCTGCTAATGGCCTAGGAAAGCAACCTAAGATGGTCCAAGTCCCTGAGCCCTTCCTTCCCATGTGGGAAACCTGGAAGAAGCTCCTACTCCTGGCTATGGCCTGGCCCAGCCCGGGTCATTATGGCCATTTGGGGAATGTTCCAGTGGATGGAAGATATCTTTCTCTCTCTCTGTCTATCTCTACTTCTCTCTCTGTGACTCTGACTTCCAAATAAATAAATAAGTCCTAAAAAAAAAAGTCCCCAAGCCCTCACAGAATAGGAGGTAGTTACAGAAAAGACAGAGAGACAGAGGGAGGGAGAAAGAAAGGGAGAGAGAGAAAACCAGACACACACACACACAGAACATTCCTAAGGAAACTGTGTAAATTTGAAAATTCGTTGTCCTCTGATGGCAGCTGACAGGTGGAGTGACAACCCCACTGAATAACACTGGGGCCATTGTGAGGGAGGGAACTTAATATTGTTATTGTTCCGCTTAGATGACATTTGCGTGAGTCCACGCCAGCTCTTGTATTTAGAAAACCCAATCGAGCAGAAGAGTTTTTGGTTTCTGCATTCAGAGCTGCCAAACAAGTGAGGAAAACCGATTAAATCTGGAAGGTGGCAGCTCACTCGGCAGACTTCTCCAGGCACCTTTGAGGAGAAGCAAAGATAAATAAATACTACATGTTGTGAGAGGAGTGTGGAGTGAGAGGGAGTGCCTGGACAGCAGTTAGAATTTCAAAGGTGAGGGACGTTCTCTTTGACTCTTCCTGATCAGCCTCTTGTCCCATGACTTGGTTCATGCCCGGATTAGAGTCTGCCCGTGTAAACACGTGGGAGTCTGATGGGAAAGGAAGAAGATAGAAGTGCATTTGCAAAGCCCTTGATTGTAGAGGGAAATATGAGCCAATGCAAATTTCTGTATTAAGAAAGAAAGTGGCTTAAAAACTATTTTATAAATCATATCGGATGCTCCTTTGCCTGCTGAGCCTGGAAAAACTCTGGCCTGTCGCACAGAGGTCTAATTTGGGAAGTCTGTAATTTGTTTCCGGACGCTTTAAGGCCTTTTTGTGTGGCCCCTGCCTGTGGCTCCCTGGTGGTCCTGTGGGTCTTGGCTCCTCTTGTTCACTAGGTTTGGATTCTGGTCTCTCCTCCTTCCATTGTGCCTTGTTTTTGTTGTTGTTGTTAACTTTTATGGAAGTTATTTACTTGAGCTTGACATACCTCAATGCAGCTATGGCCATTTAATTGACTAAAAACCAACTCATCATGTTTGTTAATTTATAGAGCCTTAGAGATCAAGTAAGCTTCACTCCCCTCGCTGCCATTTTGCAGAGTAGACTACAGGCCAGGGAGGTTCAGCTGCTTCCTTGGGGCCTTCAGCCAGAAATAGGTACTTTGTCCTCCTATTCCAATGAATGGTTTTTTGAGCTGCTTAGGGCCCAGTGTTTACATATAGGAAAGAAAACTATAGCGGTTTACTTTGTTGCCTTATAAACAATGATTAATAAAATTATTACATGATTTTCCTGTATAATACAGAACTTCCTGAGTCACCTTAATAGTTCTAGTCTCTTTTTCTATCAACTTTTAAATAACAAACTAGGACATGAATCATCACACTGAGTTTGATTTATTGTTTTTCTTCCTGTCATGGTGAATATGGTGATAACAAAATAAAGACTAAAACCAGCATCAAAGTACCATGGATTAAGTTGCTGGCATCCCATACAGGCTTCAGTTAGAGTCCCAGCTGCTCTGCTTCTGATCCAGCTCCCTGCTAATGCACCTGAGAAAGCCGCGGAGGACAGCCTGAGTGCCTGGGCCCCTGCCACCCATATGGAAACCTGATGGAGTTCCTGGATCCTGGCTTTAGTCCGCTCCACACCTAGCCATTGTAACTATTTGGAGAGTGAGCCAGTGAATAGAGAATTTCTCTCTCTCTCTCTTTCACTCTACCTTTCAAACATATAAACAAATAGTTTTAAGAATTAATGCAACCAAGTGGCTCAAAGGTAAACAACCAGAAGGTAAAAAAACAAACCAAAGGTATTAGATTATCAGGTGCCAATAACTGAGTTTCTAAACTATTACTCCTACAAATACAGTGCGGATCGTTGTGATTAATGTAGTATTTTATGCCTGTCCCTACAAGCTGCAGTTACTTCTCATTGCCTCTTTCCTGGTGTGAAAACCAACTTACAATGTTAACACAGGCTGAGTAGGAGAAGCTTCTCTAGATTTGGGTAGAGGAAAGTTGAATAAGGAGAGGAAAATATATTATTATTTTTATTAAAGATTATTTGAAAGGCAGAGTTACAGAGAGGCAGTGACAGAGAGAGAGAGAGAGAGAGAGAGAGAGAGATCTTCCATCTGCTGGTTCACTCCTCAGATGGCCACAATGACTAGAGCTGTGCTGATCTGAAGCCAGGAGCCTGGAGCTTCTTCCAGGTCTCTCATGTGGGTGCAGGGGCCCAAGGACTTGGGCCATCTTCTACTGCTTTCCCAGGACACAGCAGAGAGCTGGATCAGAAGTGCAGGAGCCAGGACTTGAACCGGTGCCCATGTGAAATGCCGGCACTGCAGGCAGCAGCTTCATCCACTACCCCACAGTGCTGGCCCTGCAAATATTTTACTGACTGCCTCTGACAAGGAGCAAACACTTTTGAAAAAGGTAATTAGGATCAGGCATAGTGGCACAGAGGGGTGGGCTGCCACTTGGGATGTCTTCATCCAGTGTTGGAATGCCTAGTTCAAGTTCCAGCACCTCTGTTTCCTCTCCAGCTTCCTGCTAATGTGCCTACCAAGAGCAGATGATGCCTTAAGTAGCTGGGCCTGACAGCACGTGGGACTCCAGGTTGCAGTTCCTGGATCTTGGTTTCAGCCTGGCTCAGCCTTAGCTATTGTGGGTATTTGGGGAATGAATTGGTAGAAGGAAGATATTTTCTCTGTCTCTCTCTCTCTCCCTCTCCCTCTCTCCTTCTCTCCTTCTCTCCTTCTCTCCCTCTCTCCCTCTCTCCCTCCCTCTCTCTCCTTGCTGTCATTCTCACTTTTGCTCTCTGTTGCTCTGCCTTTCAAGTTAATGAAAGATAAGTAAACATTTAAAACATTAATTACAAAAGAGTCATTGGGATCAAATAACTTCCCCAAAGAAAGGTGCTTTAAGGGTAAAAAAAAAAAACAATTAATGGCTTTTATAAAAATGTAAGGAATTTTGCAGGTTTGATCTGCTTTGATTCCTGTTGGGAGAGCATTTGTCAGTCTTTGGGTTGCTGGGCCTACCTTCCTGCTGTGTTTGTTTTCCGGACTAGAACTCACCCAGTCCCCATTTCAGAAAGGCTGAGGTAACCTCCATCAATGTGACACTGGCACTGTTTATGTTGGAGACGAATCCCAGAAACTCAAGGTAACCGCATACACAGAGTGGAAGAGTATATCCGGGCAGTTTTTATTTGGCATTTTTACTGCTAACAATCTACAGAAGTTTTAGTATTTAGTGCCGGGTCAAGCATAAGGGGCAGCTTCTATTTTTGGATGATTTCAAAAGCTTTAAAGAATCAGCAAATGAATTCTGTAGTAGAGAATACGGATGAAGATTCTGGCTTCTGTAGGACCTCGCCAGCGTGTGCGGGAAGGCAGACAGCTGCTTCTGAGTGCATTGATGTTTTGTTTTTAAAGAACTCAAGAAAAAGAAAAACCTAGAGGATTCTTTGCACAGTCCCTTTCATTGTCAAAAGCTTCTGAACTCCCCAGACCCTTTAATACAGCGGGAGAAGAGCGCTGAGAAGGGAGGCCCACGGTGTCGTGGTGTGACCGAATCAGAAGTCTGTGTCTTGACGCTCAGTGTCTCATCTGCCCACTGCGTGACTCAGTCAGCCAGGAGAGCACTTTCCAGCGCTGCGAGTCCCAGCAAGCACAGTGGCCCTGGAACGGGGCTATCTCTAGACCTGCTGACGTCATGTCTCTGCTCACATACCAGCTGGGCGAATGCTGGCCCACACGATTCTTCTAAGTGCCTTGCAAGAAATCCACGATAGATTTCATTCACTTCCGATGAACAGGGACTTTCCCTCTTGAGCTTCTTAATGAGATATTGTTTTCTGTTTATTATGCAGGGTACAGGTTGGGGCTTGTTAGCACTCTGAATTCCTACACATTCAGCCAAGAAAATCAAAGCCATGAGTTTACCGTGCTTGCACAGGAATTAGCTAAATTCATAAGGGTCACACTTTATGTGTCCTTGTGTTTTAAGAATACAGACGTGGATAGGACTGTCCAGATCGGAATAGTCTGCCCAGAAGGCCCTATTGTTGTAGGCAAACCCCACTGACCTCATAGAGGGACAGAAACTTTTAATAGTTTGTAACTTATTTAAACTTCAGGATTCTTTTTTTTTTTTTTTTTTTCGAGAAAAGTGTTCTGAGGCCTATGAGAAGACAGTGATATCTTTAAAATCATGCAAAGAACAAAATACCAGAACTTCCAAGCGCTAAGAGTTAGGAATGGCTGTGGTGGTAACTAACTTTGGACAATTTGCCTGATTAACTTAGCATCATATTCCTGAAATATACAAGAAGGGGATCAGTAAATACTCTCCAACTTTACTATGTTCTCTTACTACTCCGCTATAATCCTATGCTGACAGCAACAACTTTAGATATGTGCATAATTTTATTTTATATTAAAGAGATTGTTTTCATTTGTCAACAGTAGAATCTGAGTTTCTTTCGTGTATGTATGATTGATTGGTGCTCCTTGCTTATGCATGGAAAATTTCAGGTTGTTAATAAGAAACAGTGGTTTCTTTTGGAGAAGAGAATTGTAGATCTTTTGGTCAGGAAGGGAGAATTTTATATTCATTTTATACTTTTGCTTGATTATTAAGTCCATGCATTGTTTAAATTTTTTAAAAATGGGCTGATTTTATTGTTTTTAAAGATAAAAAGAAGACTTTCAAATCATTACAGAATGCATACCAGGCTAACAGTATTTGGAGTTTTATTTCAGACTCCACATATTACATTTAACCCTAAAGAATTGTTTGCAATCATAAATAGACTTTTGCTTTTATTCTAGTAAGAAAGGTTTTTTAAACCCTGTCAGTTGATGGGAACAACCACTTTTGTTTGATGAAACAAGCAGCCTTTAAAGTGTGGAAGCCAGGTTTAGCAATGTTAGTGGTAGGATGAAGTAGTTTCTATTTATTGGATCCTCCAAAAGATCTTACCATTTCTTTATCCTATATGTGAGAGTTTTTTAGAATCATCTTTCTTTGGTTTGTAACTATGGGAATGAAATAGAAGTGAAAAAAATTGGTTTTCAAGCCAATTAGTAATGACCAGTGCCAAGTTTGGAGTGTTTCAGAGTCTTATTGCCGTGTCTTAAATGCAAAACAGTAGCTCCCTCTTAATCTTTTTAGAAGATAAAACTACAGGAAATGAAAAAGCAGTCAGCTAGCCGGCAC